TTGCCCGGGACCGTTTGCGTCTTTTGGCACACGTATATGATAGTGTCGCTAGCATCCATATGATAAGGAGCCCGGGCTGACATGGCTAGTCGTAAACCCAAAGTGGCCCAAACTTACAGGGACAGGCATCCATGACCCAACATCGAACGTGTCGGTCATCAGGGAGTGAATCCAGGCTGTAGCACTGGGCTAGCAGGACTCCGGTGAACCGGGCTGTAGCGGGCTAACAGGACTCCGATATTCATCGCGTGACATTTCCCCGAAGGGACAGACACAGGAACGAAGAAGGACACATGCCGGCCAGCCTAAGTGTTTCGGAGCAGTAGCAAGCTACCATGGCTCAGTGGAAACACTAGGAGACATTTCCCGGTAAGAGAGGCTACTAAGGATAAACAACTAGATAGCCAGATCCCACACATACCAAGCATTTCAATAACATACACACAATATGCTTGATATGTGCAAATACAACATGGCATCACAACATGACTCTACGACTCAAGTATTTATTCATTAGGCTCCGAGGAGCGAGATATTACAAACATGGGTCTCATGACCCAACAATCAGAGCATACAAATCAAAGCACAAGCGGAAGCTATCATGTCTGGGTACAGACATCTATAACTGAAAAGGGCTGAGAAGCCTGACTATCTACCAGATCCTGCCGGGGCACAAGATCGTAGCTGAGGTAACAAGCTAAACGTCGAAGTCCACGCGAAACTACTAGTGAGACCGAAGTCTCTCTGCAAAAACATAAAATAGGCAAACGTGAGTACAAATGTACCCAGCAAGACTTACATCAGAACTAACTACATATGCATCATTTTCAACAAAGGGGATGGTGGGGTTTAACTGCAGCAAGCCAGCTTTGACTCGGTGGCTATCCTGAACTACGACTGCAATGTAACTCTTTTGAGGTGGCGCACACGAGTCCACATATTCCCCATATCAATACACCACTATGGATCCGCTCCCGTCTTCCTACGAGAACGCCATCCATAGCACTCACGCTTATCTTGCGTATTTTAGAGTATCCACTTTCACTTGTCTATGAACTGATATAAGCAACCCAGAAGTCCTTTACCGCGGACACGGCTATTCGAATAGATGATGTTAACCCTGCAGGGGTGTACTTCTTCATACATGTTTCCACCACTTAGCGTCTGCACACGACATGTGCTCGGCAGACTTCAAGCGAAAGCCGACGTGGGTGTAGACCACGACCTACCTAAACACTTAAGCCTCTAGTCCAGGTTTATCGCCTATTCAGGTTCCATCCGCAGGGAGTCCGACCGAGGTTTCCCATACGGCCCCGAACGATGTGAACAGGGTTCCCGAGATACCTAACGGGTATTCGGTACACCCGGCCACGTACCTACCGCATCACAGCCCACCCCTACGGTCAGCGCTGTCCACGGCCTCCAGTAGACTACAAACACCAGAAACTACTTGCAACTCCTGGACAGAGGACAAGAGTGAAGAAGAAGTCGAGCGGGGTCATATTTCAGGGCCCAATGTATGGTAGTAGCTGAATCATGGATCACAAACACAGAACTCAGTTCCTGAGGACGGCTTCAATGAGACAACCCACCATGTACTCCTACATGGCCTCTCACCACTACCTTTACCAAATCGTGTTCACACACTTAGCTCACACACAGTAGGACATGTTCACACACCTCTAATTCATCCCCGATGAATCAGACCTGACTCAACTCTAAGCAGTAGCAGGCATGACAAACAAACATGAATGAGTAGGCACAACAGGGCTCAAACAACTCCTACTCATGCTAGTGGGTTTCATCTATTTACTGTGGCAATGACAGGTCATGCAGAGGATAAAGGGGTTCAACTACCGCAGCATGTAACAGTTGAATCGGTGTTGTCCTAATGCAGTAAAAGAGAGCAGGAGCGAGAGAGTGGGATTGTATCGGAATGAACAAGGGGGTTTTGCTTGCCTGGCACTTCTGAAGATAGCATTGAGTCTTCATCAGTGTCAACGATCGCATCATCGGTATCACGTCTATCGAGAGGGGACAAATACCGGCAACACAGAAGGAAACATAATCAATGCAATGCACAATATGATGCATGATCATGACATGGCAAAATGAATGTGTTTTGGGCTAATGCAACTAGCCACAGATTAAATGAAGTTGGTTTGAATACAAGATTCAAATTCAAACTCCATATGTGATTATTCAAATGCCATTTAATTGATTTGTGCTAAACAGCAGCTATAAGTTGTTCTAACATGCATGAAAATGGTACAGATGGATTCCTTGAATTTTTCTGATAATTTTTCATATATAATTTATTTAATTTGGAGTTATGGTTAATTTTCTATGATTTATAGAAGTTTATATAATTTTCTGGATTTTCTGATTTATTTTAAATCCAGAAAATCATTTAATGCATCAGCATGACATCACCTTGACGTCATCAGGTCAACGGGGCAGATTCAGGTCAAACCTGACCAGTGGGGTCCACTGGTCAGTGACACAACTAATTAACCAAGTTAATTAGTCTTAAGTTAATTCTAACTAAACTGTTTGTGGGGCCGGGGCCCACTGGTCAGCGACTAATCAGCTAACTAACCTAGGTTAATTAGTGTTAAACTAATACTAACTAAAATGTCAGGGGGGGTGGCCCACACGTCAGTGACACACGGGGAAGGTCAAACCTGGGTCAACTCGCCGGAGTTGACCCGCGACTCGTCGCCGGCGGAGCCAGAGACGGCGGAGGGGTGCGGGTTTCCTCCTCCGGCGACCAAATGGCCGGCGGAGAGCGTCTACGTGACGCGGGCGCTCGTCCGCGTCGAGTAGTGGCAGCGGCTGGGCCTAAGATGGCCGGAGTCGTCACCGGCGTCGAGCGTGGCGGTCGCCGGAGCTCGGGCGAGCTCGGGGTTGACGCTACGGTGGCCGGGGAGGCTCGTGCGGGGCACCTACGTGTTCCAGGCAGCGCGGGGAGGAAGCTGAGCACGACAGCCGGGCCACTAGGTGGCCGGAGGCACGTCGGCGGCGATCACAGACGGCGGCGGGTTTCGGTCATCAAGGGGGCGACGGCTACGGCAACCAAACGAAGAGGAAAAGAGGGGGAAACGGTGGCGGAGCTCACAGGGGTTGCGACGGTGGCCTCGGGGAGCTCGGGGAGGCGTCGGAGGCGGCGAATCGACAGCGGTGAGCTTCGGTGGCCGGCGACGGAACGGCGATGGTGGCGGCGTTGCAGGGCTTCCGGAGGGCCGTGGGTCGGTGGAGAGGGAAGAGGGGGTCGAGGCGGAGCCTCTGGGCTAGTCGGGGAAGCGAGGGAGGCCCGGTGGCCGTGGTTATGGCGAGCGGCGTCGGCGGCTGCGCTCTGCTTCGGGAGAGGGGGCGAGGGAGGCGAAGCAGGGAGAGAGGGAAGAGGTGCATGGGAGAGTGAGGGGGGTCAGGGGGATCGGGACGGCCTGCGGAAGTCGTCCACGCGGCCAGGAGCTCGTCGGCAAGCAGGAGGTGGCCGCGCGGCCGTGCGCGTGCGAGCACGCAGCAGCTTCGGGGCGAGGGGAGGAAGACGACGGAGGGCTGCAGTGGTGGGCTGGGCCGGCTGGGGGAGCTGGGCCAGGTAAGTGGCGCCAGGTAGGTGGCCCAGGTGGCCTTCTCTCTCTGTTTTATTTATTGTTTTCTATTTTGTTCTGTTTTATTTTGGTTTAGTAAAATACTAAACCATTTTATAAAATCCTGAAAATAATTATGTGGCTAGAACTAAAATATACTAAACCACATAAAATGTTCCAGAATTATTAGACATATATTAATTATATATAATATATATATCCAATGCAAATAATTATGCATTAATTCCAAATGCCCAGAATAAATACTTATGGGCTCCTAAAAATATTGGTTTGATTTTTATCTCTGTCCAATATTTTCAGAGAGCAACATGAGCATTTTCTTGGACCTTTTTGGAGCAATTTTTATTTGGGTCATTTCCAAAAATGATTCTAAGGGTTTCACAAATCCCCATTTCAAATTTAAATGGAATTTAAACATGATGCACACATGAAGCTAGCCTAGAGCATTACCAGAAGCTAGGGATGTGACAAAAGTCCAATCGGACGATCCGAGTGAAACTATCTAATATCCGAGTGGATGAGCTCAAGTCCGAGTGAAATTGAACATGTGCTCGAAACTTTATCAAAATGACCTTGGATGAAGAAGTTTTCAATACAGAAGTTGTGCGTATCATCAAGACGGTAAATTTTGATTTTGGAGTCATCATCATCAGAGACAATATATAGCCTACAAATTCACTACGAGACTCGAATAATCCAGTCTACTGCAAAACCGAGTCCGACTGGAAGATAAAGATGACCTCAAAAAGTATTCAAGATGGCCTTATTTGAAAAAAATAATCAACATGAGAGTTGTTCGTATTGTCGAAGCGCACAAGTTTGATATTTGGGCCGTCTCGATCGGAGATCATATGCAAGCTCGGCGGCCCGCGCAAGAAGGAAGACAGAGTTTGGGCCAGATTCAGACTGAATCCGAGTTGGAATAGAATTAGGACTCTAGGACGTGAATTGATGTAATTTTTTTTGTAAGGAAAGCCTAGATGAATCCTTTACTTGTACGGGAAGTCCAGCCGCCTCTTACATATGTTGGGGTTGACGGCCGATTGAACAACACACAATCGAACAAATCAATATACTACTTTTTCATATACGTTTTATCTCTCCACCGTTTTTCTATCTCATTCTTCGCTGTTCTTTGTGTTTGAGAGCTGCGAATTCCGAGGCTCTAGGGGCGAGCGAATCGACCTAGGGCAGCCCATAGCCGCCGCACTCCCTGACGGGGTCCCTCCCGGGGGTGTGGGGTTTTCGGGTCTGCAAAAGCGCCCGTCGACTGTCTTGCGTATCGCGCTGTCGGTCGGGTCTCCTTCGACGTGAGCTGCGGTGCATCACCCCCGGCGTCGAGGGTACACGTGACGTGTTCGTGTGTCAACACAGGTTTAATGTCACCATGAAGAATAGGACTGTACATTGAATGCATGCATGATAATGCTTCAGCTGACTCAATGGCAATGTCCAAACGCTTGTCCAAAGGGAAGGGTATAGAACCATTACCATTGCTGCTGCAGCAGTGAAGGATGTTGTAGAGGTTGCCATTGCATACAAACTCCATAACAATTGTAAGAGCATTTACCTCTGTGCAGCAACCAAACAGTCTGACAACATTCTTGTGATTTATCTGGGAATGCACTATCACCTCTTTGGCAAACTCTTCTTTCTTGGTTCCATTTTTGTATATCTTTACTGCGACTGGACGATGATTATCGAGTTTTCCTTTGTAAACCTTACCGAAGCCCCCTTCTCCCAGCACAATTCTATACCCACCAGTGATGTCTTCTATCTCTTTTTGAGTGAAAGATCTTAGATTATAGTTGTTATCCACTCTTTCAAGAACCACATGTCCATTAGCATGAAGGAATTTTTTAACATTGCTCCCTTGATTATTCATTTGCAAACCAAGATCAAATTCCTAAAAGGAGGAGAGGTGTGGCTTGCCTGAGTCAGAATGTGAACCAATATCAATGTGCTTACTTGAGTATGTTTTACAAGAGGGGATTTTACCCCCGACAATTAAAGACATCATAAGATTGGTTGAACTTCAATTTACTGTAACTAGGTTCATTTCATAAAAATAGAAGATTGTAAAATACTACCTCCGTCCACGATAAGTGTACAAATAGAAATTTGGAAGGTGCAAGCCATCATCTCTGTCCTCTTTAATTACCCAACCCCCAATAAGCTAAGTGTATGTAGAAAGTGAGGAGACCATGTGTTGAATGTTATTGGTCTTGATTACCGTGTGATGAGAGAGAGACATTTATTTTATTTTAAAGTGTATTGGGAAGATATAAGTACACTATTTTCTGGACAAATTTTAAAGCCAAACATACACTTATTCGCAGATGGAGAAAGTATACTCCATACACAGTCTATAGAGAAAATGTTGATATCAACGAGACCTATGCTTTTGCATGCATATCATTACAAGTAGGACATAGTAGGAGTGCTCTGTGCTCAGCTTGATGCAAGAACACAGGATATTACTAGAATTACCTGTTTGATATAGAATTCTTATGGAGAGAAGCAATTTCGCCCTCATGCTTAGACGGGGGCAATGGAAAACTGAAAAGGCCAAGGCGATGTGAACCAGGAGGAAGGGAATCGGGATCCTGATTTGTTATATACCTCACACAGGTGCATTATTTTGATGTCATACCCTTGATTTAAGCCTGCAAAGATCTGAGGGGCTGCCTCTGTCCTAGGTGAAGCTGGCCATTTGCTTGGGTGTCTTGTGATTAGATTGTTGAGAAATTACGACCCCCAAAACATTGATACTGAAGCCAAACCCCTCAAAGCATACTACTTACTAGAACATAAAGGCGCACGTTGTCGCACCCGTACATCTACTGAAATAATAATATAAAGAGAAAAGTATACTTTTCGTCCCTCAACTCTTCGCAAAGTTTAGTTTTCGTCCCTCAACTCTAAAACCGGACAGAGTGCACCCCGAACTCTCAAAACCGGTCACTTTTCGTCCCTGCTGCTGAGTCAACCCGGTTTTGACCAACGTGAACAGTGCACCAGATGAACAGTAAATTTGAAAAAAATAGCAAAACATTCAAAAAAATCTGAGATTTTATGGCATCGAAGATACTTAGGTGTGCCACATGGGTGCAAATTTTCATCATGTTTGGAAGTTCGAGGAGCACGCAGCAAAAAAAACAAAAGTAAATGTACACTAAAGTGAACAGTAAAATAAAAAAAAGCAAAAAAATAAAAAAAAATTCTGAATTTTTTTCGCATCGAGGATGCTCAGGTGGGCAAGGTGCGTGCAAAATTTTGTGGTAAAATAAGATCCGAGGGTTTGGAAACCACCCAAAGCGGCACACACACGTACGCTATTTTGTTTTTTTTTGCACGACCTTCTGGGATGTCATTTTACCACAAAAATTTGCACACACCTTGCTCACCTGAGCATCCTCGATGCCAAAAAATTTCAGAAATTTTTGAATTTTTTTGCTATTTTTTTATTTTACTGTTCACTTTAGTGTACATTTACTTTTGTTTTTTTGCTGCGTGCTTCTCGAACTTCCAAACATGATGAAAATTTGCACGCACGTGGCGCACCTGAGTATTTTCGATGCCATAAAATTTCAGATTTTTTTTGAATTTTTTTGCTATTTTTTCCGAATTTACTGTTCATCGGGTGTACTGTTTACGCGTGGTCAAAACTGGGTTGACTCAGCAGCAGGGACGAAAAGTGACCGGTTTTGAGAGTTCGGGGTGCACTTTGTCCGGTTTTAGAGTTGAGGGACGAAAACTAAACTTTGCGAAGAGTTGAGGGACGAAAAGTATACTTTTCTCTAATATAAATATATTAGAAAAATCTGGACCAAAAACGAACATTTAGATGGTGGAGCATTATTGAAGCTTTCGGTATAAGTTGCAAAACTGACACGGGTGACAATGCCATCTAAATCAGCATTGGAACGTCAATGTACAAAAAAGTTTGTCTAAGCATCAAATTTGCTAACGTATTTGAATAAGTGGTGGAGATTCTCTGTGTGTCACACATCATCGTCCGTTGTAGCCTTGCCATAGTAGAGTGCACATAGGATGAAAAGGAACAAATGATGATGCAGTTGACCCGTAAGTAGCCAAAACAAACTGAGATCCACTGGAAAGTTGCGATTGCCGGGTGTTTTTATTTTTGCGTGCTAACGGACTGACGGAGGAAAGGCAACAACCGGCCCACCTCCTGCACCATCACTAAGAATTGACTGTACCTCACGTCCTCACCTCACGGCCGCACAGCCCACCGCAGCCCGGTTCATGAGAACGCCCAAAAAAAGGTCTGTGGAGCAGCGGCCCTTTTGACGTTCGCTCGGTCGGTTTCAGCGAGCAGATGAGGCGAACGAGGCCCGAGGGACTGCTGCGGGGCGGTGAACTAATCTGAAGCATTCGTAGACAGAGGACCTCTCCCTCACGTATGACCTAGGGTTTGAACCTAGGGTTTCGACGTCTTCCGGCGATCTCCGCCGGAATCCTACCTCTCGACGCAATTCTCGCGGGCGATTGCTCCCTCCCGCCTCTGGAGGGTCGGGGCGATCCTTCGAGGAGTTTTAGACGGAGTCGATTTTTTCTGGGAGCGCTGGGGTTTTATCCTTAGATCGGATCACGGATATGGCGGATGAAAGAGGAACTCAGAGGGAGAAGATGAAGGAGACGGCGGAGGATCTACTCGCTCGTCTCACCTTGCAGGAAGAAGAAGAGGACGACTTTGTCTGGGAGGAAGAATTACCAGATCAGATGGAGCCGGCGAAGTGGCTGGCAATCGCGAGGGTGCATACGCCAAAAACTTTCAGCCTTAATGCACTGTACGGTGACATGAGAGCGGCCTGGAATCCGGCCAAAACGGTTGTATGGAGGAGGATCAAGGAGAATCTGTTTACGGCACAATTTGGTTGTCTTGCTGATTGGAAAAAAGCCATGCTTGAAGGACCATGGCTATTCCGAGACCAAGCGGTGATTCTAGAGGAATATGATGGTTTCAAAAACCCAGACTCGTTCAAGCTGGATAAGATTGAAGTATGGGCTCAGATCCACCGCCTGCACGATAACTTTCTGATTGAGCCGGCTGTGAAGGGGATGGTGTCACGGATTGGTGAGGTGATGGAGGTGCAGCTGAAATTGCCTGTTGGTTTCTTCGGTGAATTCGTAAGAGTCAGGATCAAGATTGATGTGAATGCAAAAACCAAATTGTGACAGCAAGGAAAGGTGGGGAGAGGGTCAAATATCAAGTTAAGTATGAGAAACTTCCTATCTTCTGCTACCACTGTGGTGAATTTGGTCATTGGCATGAGGAGTGTGGAGACGGAGTGCATGATGAAACAACCTTTGAATGGGGCGATTTTGTGTTGGCAGAAAATGTAAGGGGCCGTACAGCAGGGCGAGGAACTACCTCGCAGAGAGGCAGAGGAGGCTATGCAATGGGGGGACGCGGGAGGGGGAGGGATCAGTATAACCCGAACCAAAGCTGGCGTTTTAACACTGGGCCACCGCAAACCCCTGCAGCCGCTTCTGTTTCGATGGGGAGATCGCAGGAAGATGAAGGGGAAGATGATGTGCCCAATCCACACCAAAGTGAGCAAACCCATGCTCAAATTCAGAAGCAGAAGGGTCGTATCCCGGAAGGTCTTGATCTGGTAAAAGTGACCAAAAGCACAATGGTGGACATGCATAATGAGACTGCAGGGACGTCGCTCAAACGTTTCTTGGCGGACAACATCATTGCTCCTAGTTCGGAGCCAGCTGATAATGTAGAAGGAGGGAAAACTGCACAGGGGGTGGTAACAGCACTTGTGGCTGCGGAAACCCCAAAGGGAGTGCCTCCTCCACCTCCAGTGTATGTTCCCCCGAGGAAGGAAGTGAAGAGGCCAAAGAAGGGCGATGGCAAATGCAGGAGTCTGGATATTGATGCGGGAGGCAGTGGCGAAGTGATAAGTGATGACAGGATGAAAAGTAACATGGCAGACAATCATAGATCGGCGGGCTCCTTTGTGGAGTACCGCCGGGAGCAATGAGTATCATATGTTGGAATTGTCGGGGTGCGGGCAAAGCCTCGACAATTCGCGAGCTTCGCGGGATCGCGAAGAAATTTGCCCCGACGGTGCTATGCATAGTGGAAACGCAAATATCGAAAGCACGTGTCGAAAACCTTGCTGGTACTTTAGGTTTTAATTATGCTTATGCAGTTAGTAGTGTTGGCCGTAGTGGAGGCATGGGTATGTTCTGGAATGATGGAATAAAGCTTGATGTGTTTGGTTATTCTGAGTACCATATTGATGCATCTGTTTCCGTTCCAAATCAGGAGGAATGGCGTTTGACTTGTGTTTATGGTGAAGCACAAGTCGCGGAGAGATACAAGACTTGGGACCTTCTCAAGTCGCTCGTGTCAGCGAGTTCCCTACCATGGTTGTGTATAGGAGACTTCAACGAAGTTCTTCACAATTATGAGCATGTAGGGGCAGGACAACGGAGGTGGTCACAAATTCAAGGATTCAGGGATGCGATTGATATATGTGCTCTCACTGACATAGGATATAATGGAAAACGATGGACCTTTGAAAAGAAAACTTCGGGAGGCGGATATTGTAGGGTACGTCTGGATCGAGCCCTAGTAAATACGGAGTGGCTTTCAATCTTTCCACATGCAACCCTGCACCATGAAACGGGGGCGGCGTCGGACCATTGTCCGATCAGGTTGCAACTAGAGCATGCCACTCCACAGCAGATGGTCTCAAAGCTGTTTTGCTATGAGGTATACTGGGAGAAGCAAGAAGATTTCGGCTCTTCTCTCGAGGCAATGTGGAAAGGATCAGCCGATGGTATGACTGTTGAGCAGATTAGCAGCAAACTTTGTAATCTGTCGGCTTCTTTGAAGCAGTG